TGCAGAGCATGACGAGCGAGCCTGAGCCTGTTACGGCTGGTGCAGTGGCAACAGCCCTGCCTTCTTTTGCCGGGAGACGTGGCTCTCACCTGCCCAGCCCTTCTCGCATCACCAGCTGAACACCACCTCCTGCAGTCAGGCTGCAGCAACCTCAGCAACTTTTTGCCAAAGTCAGTGAAGGACAGTGGCTTACGGCTCTTCTCAGGCTGTCACTGACTGTCCCACCGCATCTTCTGCCATCCCTGAAAAAATCCCAGGTGCCATCACCTGCGCTCGTAAGGGCTTCTCGTAAATAAAAGGGAGGTATTTGTGCAGAACAAGGCTACCGAAGGCACTAGGAGGATGCAAGCTGAAATCACTGGCACAGCATTAGTCAACTGGAGGCTTAAGGGGAGTCATTTGTTAATCACATGTTTCACTTGTTAATGGTGTGCAGGTGTTGAGCTTTATTTCACAGAAAATGAAGTCAAATATAGGAGTACAGGACACCGAACACTTAGCGCACACCCAGTCATATCTTGCAGGTCATAGAATTTTTTTTCTTTAGAGCCATTCTTTCCAGCAGCACAATCTTGGGAATTTTTGCCTTAGTTTGGCACAAGCTTTACGTGGCAGTAGTCTCAATACCATCTTCTTTATAACTTTATGCAAAAGGCAAGAGATTGGAGTTGAGCTATTGAAATCTGTCATACATTTTCCAAGCCCCCTGCTTTGCTTCAGGCCTTCTTGAAGATTTTATTTTAGAAGCCAGGCCCCAGGAACGGTTTTGAGAGCAGAGCCTGGTGCAGCAGCCCAGGAGAGTCTGTGGTTGTCCCCCAGACCTCATGGAGCATTGCAGCAGGCAGGAGGGACTGCCTGCTAGCAACAGGAGACCCTGGAGAGGAGGTAGGGTGGGCATGCTTTGCAGTTAGTTGTGAAATGTTACCTGCTTTGGCTTGGAGAGCGTGGGGTTGCCCTTCAGCACTCTTCAAAGCAACCCGATCTGCCTTTTCTAAATGAATTTTATTTACAATGAGTTTATACTGGAGATTAAATACTGGAGAAATGGGAGAAATCTGAGTTTAATGCAACAGCGAGCTCCAGACTGAGCCTGATGTCTGTCAACTGTTTAATACCAGCAGAAGGCAAGAGACAGGTTAAACAGTGGGGTAAGCTTTCCACATGGGAACTAAAGTAGGAAGAGATTGATGTGCACAATACGACACCACCAGGACCGGGAGAAGGAGCCTTTCCAGTATGAAGAACACAGACAACCGTCAGTAACAGCAAAGATTATAGTGCTCTGTTGTATAAATCTCATAGGGTAGCTCATGCATTTCTTAATTATAGACCCGTTTAATGGCATACCTGACAATGGCAAATACTCTTCAAAACTGCTGCCTCTCAAACGATCACAACCATTCTGTGAAACTCTCCCATAATCTTAACTAAGCTTCAGGAAGCTGGGTCCTGGCGCGGTTCATGTTTTCCCTTGGAATGTGGCATTATGCCTAAGGTCAGTAATAACTGCGTTGTAATTCGGGCTGAGTACAGCCTGGATACGGTGTGCCCCTCTGTTAACATCAGCCACCTGCTGTAAATAAGTTTTTCTTACTTTCTTCTTGTACCTTTGCAGGCCTCATATAGTTACGACATAATAAGCTGACTTTTGCACAGGGCCACTTAATAGCTATGGGAACAAAGTGCACGGGGGTGGCAGGGGAAGCTTGGCTGATAGGGGCAGAGGAGCAGCCCTGGCATCGCTAGCACTTTGCTGGTTCCCAGTTTATGCCTCCAGCAATGAGGATGTGGACTGTGGCTTATTTGCAGTATCAGCGCTGATGGAGGATTTCCCCCTCCCAGACATTAATTCCGTTTGCTTGTTGCCTCTGTAGAGAGGGGGTGGCCCTTCATGCTGGGCTTGTTGAGCCACTGCAACAGGGCAGGCCACAGGCATTTTACATAGCAGAAATCAAAGGGGGCATTAACTTCCACTACAACCTATAATACAGCTATTTGTTCCTCCTGCCTCCTCTTGCCAGAGCATAAGTGTGGCCACACAATGAAGGAGATCTGGATTAATTTTTAAGCGAAGAGAACAAAACTATAGCCCTAATGTACTCTTAACTCAGAGCCATGTGCCCTGTGGTTATGAAAAAAAAATGCTTCTGCCAACATTACTGGTAGTGGCAAAGGCAAGTGCCCATGGAGACGACAGGATCACAGCCTTCTCCAGCAGCACCCACACACATTGAAGCTCAGTGTGCACCGCCAATCTGCAGGCACCAGGCTTCAAGTCACTTCAAATTCCCACTGAGACGGAAAATGCAGAGCAGAAGGGCTGTGGGGCTGTCTGGGCAAAGCAAGCTGGGACAGCAATCAAAATATTGATGGGAGGCAGGACAGGAAGCAGTTGCCAATTTTGGTTACCCTCTGTGTCAGGCTAGGCTAGTAATCTATAGACCGCATAGGTGACTGCATCATGGAGCAGCTGAGTAAGGGAATTATAAAAAGGTCACTCTACATAGAGGAGAAGGACAATAGTCAGACTGAGGAAGATAGCATAATCTTTATTATGGTTTTTGTATTAACTTGCTAAGATGGCCAGGAGAGTTGAGGAACAGCTTTCTAAGGACACAGGAAGTGTGGAGTGCCAGCAGCACTGAAGTAAATTAACAAAAAACTGAAGCACCTTGATGTGAGCACTGATACAAAGAAGTTAATGGAGGTTCCCACACCACAGCCTCTTCCTCTGGGAGGAAAGAGGCTTTAATAATTAAGACATAACATTGTAAGTATGTTCTTCTATGAAGAACCAGTGAAGTCTGAAGTGTCAGAAGAAGCCTCATTCTTCTTTTCCAGAAGCACAAGCCATGGACCAAAATGATATCTGCGAATGAACTGGTATTGAGCTGGTATTGAGCCCCTGCATCACAGAGGATCTTGCACTGCTGAGCAAACCTGGGTATTTACTCAACTGCCAAAATCAGATGGATAAGAAAAATGGAGGAAGGGGAAATGGAGGAGTAACACAAATTGCAACAGGCTAGGTCGACTGCCTGGTGTGCCAGGCTAGCGAATGGACAGACTGACTCACTGGATCCAGCACTGCAGGAAGAAGGAACAAAATTGTTTTTATTGAGGAAATCAGGCTTTCCCAGGTCTAACAGCGTACTTTGAGGGACCAACAAGAATGCACAATAATCCTTTTCTTTGTTACAGACATGGATTTCCAGACGAAAACAAAAAAGTCAAACTGTTGGAGGGTTACAGTATAAGACCACACTTATAGATCTCTCTTTTAACCACTTAGTAAGAACAGAAGTAAGTTGTCATCCTTCCAGGGTGGAGGGAAGTTATTAGATGGCATCTGAACTCCTGACTCCCAAGATATTTTTCTGCCTGGAGAAAGGTATATGGTGATTAAGGTTTTTGATTATATGTAATTATTGAGGATAGCCAGAAGTTTATACTTGGAAAGGACAGGCAGGAAGATTTAACTATTCCAGGGGGTAGAAATGACAGGTGAAGGTTAATGTCAGTAGCACAAAGTAAGATACATAGGGAGAGAAACAACCTCAGCTCCATGTTCCAGGTATATCCCTTTAACACCATCAGTAGCAACTTTTATATAGCTGGAGAACCACATGCTTCCCAAATGTCAAGTCTGTGCCCCTTGAATGACAGAGGAAAAAAGTTACAATTACTCTGAAGGTGGTTAGGAACAAATATCACCATAATGTCTCTGTGTCTTCACTGACACATACTCCTAACACCTATGCACAGAAAGGGATATAATACAGAAAAGACCAAGAAAGTTGATCAAGAATAGTAACAAGCTTGGCAAGGAGCAATGAAAACTAGAACCTCACCATTCCCAGAAGGACCTACAGCAGAGAAAAGGATGAGAAACATGCAGTTATAGGTGAGCGAGAAAGCACCACACAGTTCCTCCAGGGGCACATCCATGCTGCTGATCAGGCAGCAAGAAGACTAAAGGAAGGGTTTCTCCACACCACAGTTCAGCTCTGCCAGATAGCTACACTGAGTATTAAATCCTGAGAATAAAAATGCATTCAGAAAAGGTTTAGACAAAGCCCTGTAATAAAGGTCAAACAGCAGTTACTAAACATACACATATTCCATTGCATATACAAAATCTCTGCTACCAGCAATTAGCAGAATATATTAGATTAGACAAGATATTGAACTAAAGGCACCCTTGTGTTCTGCAGAAAGTGTCACTTACTACTGCATCCCAGTCCTCCCTGCTTCACAGTTCTGTGAATGCAGAGCATCTACATATAATCACAGAATCACAGAATGGTAGGGGTTGGAAGGGGCCTCTGGAGATCATCTAGTCCAACCCCCTGCTAAAGCAGGTTCATCTAGAGCAGGTTGCACAGGACTGCATCCAGGTGGGTTTTGAATATCTCCAGGGAAGGAGACTCCACAACCTCCCTGGGCAGCCTGTTCCAGTGCTCTGTCACCCTCACTGTACAGAAGTTTTTCCTCATGTTGAGGTGGAACTTCCTGTGCTCCAGTTTGTGCCTGTTGCCCCTTGTCCCGTCATTGGGCACCACTGAAAAGAGCCTGGCCCTGTCCTCTTGACAGCGTTGATAAGGTCCCCCCTCTGGCATGAAGAGAAACCATTCCTAAACTACACACACACACGCTTACACATACACACACCAAGCACTCTGTTGCAGACTAGGCCAAAACTCAGACTTAGGCACACGTGGCCCAGGAAGTTAATTTTAAACCTAGACCAAAGGGTCACATAATCGTAGCTCACTCTAATCTGGTTCCTCAGGGTTACATACACAAATCTCCTTTATTTAAAAGTATCAATAATCTAAAACAGTGCATCCAATTGCTTCACTTTCACACTCATCCTCTTGATCTAAGGAGCATGAACCAATGCTAATTCAGCACATACAAACATCCTTCTACTTCTGCAGAAAACTCAAGTCATTCAAATTAACAAACAAAACACCAATGCAGCAGGCAGAGCTAGTCTGTTAGCTTTCTTTTGCCAGCTTGCATAGTCTCTTAACCCTCGAATAAGGACTAATAGTGTCATCAAAAACAAAGTCCCACAGAACTCGAACCCAGGACTGGTGATGTGGGAGGTTATCGTAATATTCTGCTGCAATCTTCTTCACCTGGAAGAAGAAGAGAGAGAATGAGCTGTTTAGCTGCACAGTGTCGGATGTGTTTGTCTTCACATTCAGATCTGATAGCACAGCCATAACCTGAAGTTACTTGTTATTGCTTGCGAGCTTCTGAAGTTCAGCCAAATGAGATGTACTTAAATACATTTAGATACTTAGCAGATTTCTGATGGAAGTTTTGCTTCACAATGTCAGAATTTGAAAGATGATGGATCACTGCCTTCAGTTAGAACTATTTTCTCTCATTTTGGAGGTGAAGGGATCGCCACAATGAGATGACTAATCCACCTTATAAATTGCAAAGACTCCAACACACTGTATTTAAAGCCCTGTTCACCACTAGTAATACTCGTCTGCAGAGGGTTCCGGGTAGGACAGAAATACCAATTAAGAAAATGCCAGACACAGCCTTGCCTACACAATTTTCTTTCTTCCATTCTGCTACTGTGATGCAAATCTGGGAGACGGGTTCCTCCAGCAGGCAGAGGAAATTGCAGGGGCGGTCTGTTCTCAAACTGGTGTTAAAAATGCTTCAAGATTCATTATTAGATCAGAAGTCTAATAAAATGTCATCCCTATTACAAATCCCCAAGTCTTAAGACTGTTGCCATGAAAGGAGCATTGCCCATCATTGGGGATGGCGCTTGTAGTGGGAGTAAGGCCAGAACCATAGGACAAAGAGCTTTCAAACATAGCAGGTGCAGGGGACTATGAGGATTCCCAAGTTATCAGTAGTCCCTGCTCCAGCTAGATGCTCTGCTTTTTTGAACATACTTACAAAGCAGCAGAGTCTGTTAACTATTGGACACTTGCATATAAACTGCTTGGGCATGGTTTTATTACAGCTCCACCTCCTAGACAAACAGAGCTCTATTCTAGAGTAGTTTGTCTTGCTGGACAGCATGACTTCTCTCTTTAAAAACCCTACAGAACTTTGAAGCCAGCTATGCTGAGCACAGTATGGACTTCCAGTGAAGAGCAAAAGGGTTACACAGAAATTGTCATCCGGGAGGAGGGTCTCATCAGCATCCAAGGTGTAATGATGGAACCTTAATACGGCATTTTGACTGTTATGAAAAGGTAAGAATCCCAGCAAAAGTTAAATTGTAAGCCTGTACGGCTCAGTGCTAGTTACCTCATTAAGTCAGCTTCCTAGCAGACATTTCCCTGTGAGGTAGGCTGGGAAACGTGCAAGTTTCATTAAGACCTTTTACCTCTGTATCTCAGCCCCTATACACTCCTTGTGCTCATGGCATGGTAGTGCTGTGTTAGAGGTGGAAGATTCAGTTCAGTTATGGTTGTATTCTGCCTTTCACTGAATACCTCTGACTTCCTAATGATTGCTTATATCCTGCTTTAAAGTGTTGGTCTGTACTACAAATGTGGTTCATTTTTGATGGGATTTTCAGACAATAGCAGCATTTGCCCTTAGAGGTATTTGTTAATGACTGGAAGAAGGGCGATTTCCAGGCACAGGGTAAGATCTAGGAGATGCAGATTTAGTTCCCTGTGCCACTTCTGTAGCCACAGTCAGAAATAAATTATTCTGGGTTTTGTATCCTCCCTTTTCCTAGCTGGGTAACTGAAATATCCAAAGGATGAGAGGGAGGACTATTTAGAAGGTAAGCTCCCTTGACGCCCTTGAATGAAAGCCACTAATGAGGCCTCATGAAAACACAATGGGGAGCTCAGATAGCCAGACCCAAAGGCTTCACTCCAGCTCTGATGTGGTCATTCTCTAGCACACTGCTGCTTAAAGACCTTCCCTCCTACCTCCATTTTAGAAGTTCTGCCTGAATTTTGTCTTGCAACAGTAATTCAGCCCTCATCTATGCTAGCCAAGTTCATATGGCAAGTCTACCATTCCCCTCTTCTCCAGAATGCCCATATATTTCTTGCCCACAGAAACAATGGTCTGAACAAGACACACTTTCTCTGCTAGTTAATAATGTATTCTGCAGAGCTCCTGATAATGTTAGACTCTGACCACTACAAAGGCTTCAGAAAGTCTTTCTCTATTGCCCCTTGCATGGGGAAGTGGAAGGTTGGAGATTCACAAAAACCAATTTGGCTCCTAGGAACAATGTCTCAGGTAGTGGCTGTGTCCCCTGGCACCAAAGGCTAACTAAAAATGACCCCAGTGATGAAGCAGGAAAAAATGGCTCAGGGAAGAGGCCAATGAACTGCCTGTCAACCCAATAGTTTCCGCCCTTTCAGCAAACATGAGCAGCCATATAGTTTGGGGACAGTGTTGAGGAGCTCAGGTGGACACAACATGCAGGTCTGAAAACTTGCACTTAAATATATTCCACATACATATCCTGCAGTTGTATTACAGATTTAAAACAGGCACCTAGAATACAAGTATTATTTGATAATTAAGATGATTAATCAAAATACCCAGCAGTGAATTTTGACGAAGATCATACACACCATATTCTGGAAGCAGGCAGCCCAGTCACAGCTGGCAAGCTGCTTGCCAGCATCAGGTGGTGGAGGAGTGGCTTTCACCAAGCACATCCATTTAGCATCTTCTTGCAGCATATGATGGCAGCTCATTCTGAATGAGAAGGTCAGTATAGAAACCACAAGAGATGACCAGGAGCTTCCACCCTAGATCAGCTGCAGGACAGTGACTCACACCTACACAAAGTAGTTCTTTGCTCTGCTTGGCTTTGTGCAGGAAAGCAGGCAGCGTTTGCACCATTGGCAAGGTCCCTGTGCTCTGGGCAGGACAACTGTATGAGATGTACAGAACCAATGAAGAGGAGAAGGTAAACTACAATAAAATGTTTGTCACAAAGGAATGGGGAGAAGGGAAAAATTAATCTACGCAGTTAAAGAGAGGACTTCTGAAGGATTTTCTTATGGAAAAGACAAGGAAGTTTGTAGTTCCCATTTTGCTATCACATGGTAGGAAAGAATTTTAAAAGCAGTTTCTCTTTTACAATGAATCTGCGCAAAAGTTTCCTAAGAAAAACAGCTCATCTATTGCAATTTCTTTCAGCATCTCCATATGTAAAATCATCTCCTCCTTACCTATCAGAAAATCTGAGGGGTGGGAGGGTAGAAAGTAATTGGGTTTCACTGCAGATTCCCTTTTAAACACAACATTAAACTATATCTATTAAGTATCTTTGAGGCTGGAAGAGTCATCCTCCATGTTGCATTCTGGGTGCAGTACAAAATCTGTGGATGGCAGTTTCCACGTTTTGCAGCCAGATCATAGATCATCTTAAAGAGGACAGCCCTGTGACAAAGTATTCCTAAATCCTGCTCCAGACTTCCCCCTCAAGCTCTCCATATTGCATTGGTGATGGTCCATTTTCTTTAATTCCTCCTTCCCTTCCTCCTTACAGATCTCAACTAAGTCTTAACTCATTGCTAGTTTGTGAATGGAAGTTATCATGGAAGGATAACAAGAGATCACAAAGTCTGCAAGAAGCTTATTAGGCACTTGGCACCTGGTATATTAGAATCATAGAATCATTAGGTTGGAATAGACCTCTAAGATCATCGAGTCCAACTATTGACCTAATACCACCATGCCCACTAAACCATGTCTACAAGTGCTACATCAACACATTTTTCTAACACCTCCAGGGATGGTGAGACTTTTCTTCAAGTAGAACAAAGTGGTAGGTAAGAAATCACACCTTTTAGACTGGAATTTTGCTTCTGGTTTTGTGCTTGTAGAGCACAGCAGAAGAACCCCAATCCTACTCCATTGTATCTGACAGGTGCAAAAGTTAAATGCAACCTAATATTTCACCACAGTTGTTACAGATCCTTTGTCCTGGGACCATACAGAAGCTAGAGATCCTTATGACAAGAAGCTGAAGAATTACGTTTAGAGTTCTAGAAGGCATATTACAGAAGTTCCCTCTATAGTCCTCAACCAAGGGAGAGCACTCAAGCTAGCCCTCCTGGCCATCACAGGGTTAATGAAATCTGCAATCCAAAACCAGCACATCTACCATGTTTTCCAGTCTTGTCTGTCTAATAAATCTGGTTTCGTACCTTGTCTTTTCCTTTTCCCACAAGCTTAATGAATAACTAGTTTGCCTCTGGTAATGCTGCAACTTTATTGCAGTTTGTAGGAACAGTACCGAGCTCCTTCTTCTCCTGTTCCCTCTCTCCATAAGTGTATTCAATGCTTCAGATAATGAAGAATGGACCTTTTTACTCATTTGCTAAACAATGCAATATTTTTTAGTTATAAGGCTTCATCAAAGACTAATCTAGTCCTAAGTCTATAGGGTCCTTCATTAAGCAGGTCCTTCATTATAATGTTAAATTTCATAGTCTCTTGTGTAATCTCTCATTATACTAGTGGGTCAAGTTCTTACTGCATACTTATGTCACTCATCTTTTATATCTATAAGCTTACAGCACAGCCTAATTGTTCCTCTTTCAAATCTGTCACACTCCTAGGGTAAAGGTCTTTCCTTTATGTGTGGCAAACACATTACTCAGAACATTCTGAATGACACACCTGTAACAAAGGACAAAGCTGAGTTCACTTTCCTGATAAGTGGAAGGGCCAGTTACTTTCCAAGACTAAGATCCAGTTATTCTGTGATCCTATTTGTCCCCTGCTCTCAATCATGCAGGAAACAAATAAAGATCTTTATTCTGCTTTCTACTTTACTATAAATAAAAATAAAAATAGCTATACTGAAAGGTCATCCATATTACACAAATCAACTATTAGAAGTTCAACTGCCTAAGAGACTAGATCTGAAAAAAATAGACCTTTGCTGACTGAAGAATATGCTGGGAGGTTAAGCAGAGGACAGCAAGGAGAGGTTTCTACCCCTACCTGTTATGAAGTTCAAACTTCAAAGCTATCCAGAGAGGATCTGTCCCCTTATCTCCTTTCACCAAAGAGAAAGAGAATCCTTCTTCTCAATTTGCAGAAAATAACCAACTTTTTTTAATGGACTAAGGATTTTCTACAGTAACTGTTTTGCCAAAGGATTTTCACTTCCTAATAGATTTTCACTTGCAATTGATCACTTGTCAGAGCCTCAAAAGTTTTCCATATAGTTCTGTCAGGCAACAACAATTAACAAGCCTAATATCTCCTCCACTAGCAGTGCAAGTCTCAGTTGCCCAAGAGCTAGAAACACATGTACACAAGCTCATGAAATTCCGCTAATAAGTCTATCCTCCTTACACAGGAGGGCAGACACTTCCAGCTGCTGCACTGCCTCAGGGAATTACGCTGAACTGTTTGTGGTGTGGGTGGGGAAGGGCTTTTTAGTTCTCAATCAGGTCTGGAGCAACAGTCCCAGCAAGTTCAATTAATCGCTCTCCTCCCTTGTGTAAGATACAGAGCTAACCTCCTTCTCTTCTATTTACATTTCAGTAATCTAAGTATCTAAGCCTATCTAACAAGTTTGAACATACAAAAATAAAGTTAAGCTCACACACTTCCCAGCTGAGCTATTGGGTGTATCAGCAATGGGAGTGCCTGACAGGAGAACTTCACATGTGAACATGGGCTGCTTTACCGGCTGCTCTGAACCCCACCAGGAAAGGACAGCTTCTCCGGGACACAACTCCAGCAGCAAAGGAGGTGTGTTAAAACAGAACTGCAGGCTATATAGAGGCTCTCCACACTCTTCTACGCCATAAGAAAATCTCTTGGTTTGAGTCTCTTCTCAGACAGTGTTTCTATGATGAAGAACATTTACCCATAAAGCAGGGTTTGCCTGGATACACCATCATTAAAAGCTGTACGTGTTATGCAGTAGCGGGGAGGTCACAGCTCCTGAACCTCAGACTCCTCAGCTCTACCTCCACCTCCACCTCATGAGGATGTTGCAGTAGTAGCACCCAACTTTGCATCAGACCAGAGACAGAAGATGTTTCCTTCCTACTATGCCAGAGGATTTGTAAGTAGGAGTAATGCTTCGAAGTCACGTACCTCTAACACTGTGAGCACCTGCTGAAGAACCCTTGTATTAAAACCCAGAAGAGCAGCTACATACCTGGAGGGTGATTGAAAACCATTCCTAGACACCTGGGCTTTGCAAATTTGACTCCCACAACTGATAACACGTAAACAAAAAGAGGCTTGACTTTCAAAAGAGGAAAGTCATAGCACTTTCCTAATGACAGATCAGGCATCCTCAGTTTCTGTGGGTGGGAAAGCAAAGCTAAAACAAGTCATGTAGAGTGGGGCATTATTTTCTAGTGCTATGTGTGTCAGGCTGCAACACGCCCAAATACTTACGTCATCTCAAAAACAGAAAGACTTTTATTTGATGTTAATCAAGCAATGTAGTTAGCAGATTGATCATTAGACAAATTTCAAGTAGTAATTGCCACCTGCCTCACTTTAGATGGGCCTTTAAACTTTCAAAGAGACAAAATATGGTGGCTGAGGGAAGGAAATGGAGAAATTTAGAGCATTGTTGGAGGGTTTTGTCATGCAAAAAGTATTCCTCAAGCCCTCTGAGGCTCAGATGGTCTTGTTTCCATTAAATAAACTAAATATTATAGCAGTTTGGCCATTTCTCCCAATCTCCTGCTTAAAAAGAAATAATTAGAAACAAATCCTAAAATCTTCCTTCTTTCCCTTTATTTTTCTTTTTAAAATCGATCCATTACTATGATTTGGAGTGATTTCTTTGAGACACTTTAGCAGCTTTTATAAAAATCCAATTCACTCATGCTCATGCCATACTTACCATTGGTAATCTGCATCCGGGAATGCTGGGGAAGTCATGATGCTCCATGTGGTAGCCTACATTAAAGGTGAGCCAGTTCAGAGGTCCATAATAAGAGTATGTCTCATACCCTTTTAAGAACATGTAGTGTTCTGCTATGAAGTGCCCAGAAATGGGATGTACACCCATGCAAAGAATTGTACCTGCTATTAAGTAAATAACAGGTTTGAGTCCCCAAAGGTAGTAAATGATAAGGTTTATAGAAAACTGAACAAGAGCGTTAAAAATTTCCATCTGTGTAATCGCTTTGGGGTTCACATACAGTGGTCTCAGACTGTAGAACAGAGGTTGGAGGAAAAGCCAAAGCAGTTTCCAAAGCGGCGTACAGAAGAACCAGCCTTCAAAATCTGTGGGAATGTCCACATCCAGTCCGTCCCCACCAAGGTACCGATGATGGTCAATGTGGTATTTCTTGAAGGAGGCAGAATAAGGGATGCCAATCGGCAAGTTGGCAAAGACTGCAAACCATCGGTTCCACTTGACCTGCTTGTTCCCAAAGGCGACGTTGTGTGAAATATCATGGATGGCCAAGGTCAGCGAATGGTTGATGCAACCCCCAAAAGCATAAGCCCAGAAGAAAATCCATTTCCAAGATAAGTCTTTCACCAAGTAGCATGCTAGAAACTGTATGAAAACCATTCCAGATACAATCCACTTTAAATGTGGATCTGGTCCCATCAGACTCTTGATCTCTGGATACTTTGCTAAAGTGAAAAATTAAAAATCTCATTAGATCACAGTTAGGTAAACATAATCACTACTGTGACACTATTTTTAATCACCCTATGTTTGAGGCCCTAGTTTTATAAAAAGGCAATTCCAAAGTAGGGTTGCCACTACAGTAAAAACTTGAGTAACATATGGGCTCCACTCCCACTTCCAGCATCATGTCCAACTGTGATTGATATTGATACATATAGCTGTATATAGACATACTAAAAAAAAAATTACCTTGATGGTCAATATGTGGCATCATGTGCCTTCACAACAACGAGTATTAGTATGTCAAAACCCACCAGATTTAAGCTCTAAGAAGCACTTTCTGTCAGGTTTTTAATTTCCTTTTTCATTTTGCCCAGTCCAGATGCTATTTTCCACAAAAGGGATACAACTGCCTTCTTTGTAGCCCTTTTCACACTGTTGCTTCAGACATACTAGCAGAGGAAAGAGGGCTGAGCAACAGGCTTGCCAGGTTTTTGCTCTGTGGTTAGATGACAAATGTAGCATTAAAAAAAATTCCTAAGTGTTTGACTGTTCACCAGTGCTTACAATATCTACAACTCTTTGCACATGGTAACATCACCAAAAAGTCACTAATATGATCAGGAATTTGTAAGAAGCAGAAAATTTTTATCTGTTCCCATTAATGAGCCTGTTCCCAGTCACATACCAAAAACAGGCCTGAAAGACACATAGATAATTGCATAACAGCCTCATGTGGCCTCACAAATACTGCAATAGAGCACCAAAGAGACATGGGCTAGGCTTGCCAGCTCTGAGTGATGTCGAGCCAGGACCAGCTTACTGATCTTTGATTCTACTGGCCATTCACTTGTCCTTTTAAGAAAAAGAAAATACACAGAAGTACAGGTTATCTTCTAGGTGCTGTTCATTGCTTCAGGTCTCTTCTTTACAAACCACCCTTCTCACTTCCAGTATTAACTTGCACATGAATTGTTTCCACTGTTTTATGGCTTTTACCCATACTCTGCATTTCCTTCCTCCTTTAACTCATATTCTGCATTTCTCAATAATTACAGCTTACACTGATAAGACTGTAGGACAAGTTACTCATTCCGAACCCTAAGGTTACACAGTGTGTCCCTGTGAGTTTGATATGCCCATTTTATGAATAGAAAAGTAAATATCATCTGACTGTCACAGTATGATACAAATGCAATAAAATCAGATTATAATGATTTGCATCTATGCAGCTGTATATACTATAAACAAACGCTGGAGACAATACACAACTTCATGTGACCTTGCAAGCAGCAGCAGGTACTGAGTGTAGGACGCAGAGAACGTTTTAAATAGAAGTGAACCCTGAGAAGTTTGCAGAAGTTCAGAGAGATGAAGCACTACTTAAGGAAGCAGATTGATGTGGTCATGCTCTGCAACCATTCCAACAACTTTTGAGCCTGTTGGCCAACTTCAGCCCAGCTTGACAGAAATCAGAGACAATAAAGATTAGACAAGTGCTGTGGAAGATGATGAGAAAAGAGATATTCTCAATTCTTCTTCTTGTGAGGACAAGGGGGCAAAAATCACCATGAGGATTATTCAGGCAAGAGAGAGATTTTCTAAGTGGTGGGAAAGCTCTAGTAAAAGTTCATGTCTTTCTAAAGTCAAACTTTTTGATAAAAATCTCTGTAAAGCCCAGGCTTTTTTGTTTTGCTATTTTGGTTTTGTCCTTGTTTTCACAGTTTTTGAAGGCACAGTTTTCACACTAGAAATGCTAACATGCTATAAACTGTTCTCTGGTACCTAGACAGGTACCAAAATTTTACACAAAGTGCTGGGATATCCAGTCTAAAGAATAACTTGATATAATGATCTGGCCAGAAAATCTGTTACAGTAATGCAATTTTATATAGCTTAACGTCCTGCTTAAGGGCATCTGTCCAAACCCCAGGAAACCCTTTAATAAATCAAGCCACCTCAAATTTTCAGTCTTGTAACTGGTAGAGATACGTTACTGCAGTCACCAGAAGATGAAAAAATCTAAAACAACCAAATCTATTCCTTAGCCTGGTCAAATTGAGGCCGCTTTGACCAGGAAAAAAAAAAAAAAAAAAAAAAAAAAAAAAAATTAACGGGATGGGAAAATGACTAAGAGATGCTTTAATTTTAGTTTGAGAACAATTAAAGTTTGTGACCTAATTCTTTTTGTGGCAGCTAACAAGGATTACAGATTATATTCGAGAGATTTCAGAGTAGTAACTGCCAACTGGCAGCACCAGTGTCTGCAAGCAGCAACGCAGGTAGATTGCATTTAGCACAGGTGACAGCTATTAAGTAACTTGCTAGGGTTTAATATTAAATTCAACACACGATTAACTCCTCTGCAACAGTAAATTTCTGCATACTAGTTAAACCACAATACCGTGTCTGTTTATCATTAATACTGATAAATCCTTCCCATTTCCATGGCATGGAGAAACATCAGGGAGGCTGAGAGGTGGGGCTGCTTATGCTGCTTACTGGAGGCTGAAAGCCCCGCTGGTGGAGCAGCCTGCCAGAGACTTTTGGTTCAGGAGCACTTCACATGCAAAGTATTGAATGCTGACCCTTTCAAAACTTGAGGTCAAGCTCTCTTCAGTGAGACACTTCTAATTTCCGATTAAGTGATCCTGATGACTGCAGTTTATACATAATGTACTGACACAAAGATGTGACAACATAAATACGTAACTCATTTTTCACTTATGTTCATGCCTTGCAGTTAGCTGAGGGAATGCTAGTAAGGCAAGATAGAGCACTAACTTACAGTTGAAAAACCTAGACAACCCTGTAAGGCTGCTGTGACAAGTGCCTGTAGGTGCTGTGCAAACCAAACATCAACCATCTGCATGTCCCAAAGGCAACACAGAATCAGAGACAGTTCTACTGTGCAGTGCTGAACCAGGAGGCATAAAGGACTATCAGACCTGTGGCAGCCACACAATAAAGACCACCTTCGTTTCCTACACGTTGCACTTCCAAAAGTAAACAGACACCTACTCGGCACTCTGGAGACTGCTAGAATTTCACACTATGAGGCATCTGAGCAGAGATTTTCATCATGCTGCTCTTTCCTGAATTGCTTCCATTTCGGTCTTCCTGCACACTTTTCCATTATAAAAATGATGAGCTTCTACATGGCCAGAGTCCGTCGCTTCCCAACAAGCACTGGATCAGGGCTAATACATGATGATGGGCATAAAACGTGATCTGTAAATGAGCTCTTCCTTATGCACAATCATGGCATAGAGGGAGCAGAGGAATAGGAGGGAAAAAAAAACTAAACCGAAACAAACCATCATTCAGCCTTTCTAGATAAGGGAGGGGAGGAGACCCAAAAAGTTATGAGAAAAATAATGAGAAAGCTTATTCAAATGGTGTGTTAGCTCAGCCCAGCAGAGAGCTTATCCACATGGCCGCTTCTAGTTTGTCCAGATTGAGCCATCATACTGCCATTCGGAGGGTGGAGATACCGGTGTAGATGTACAGGAGTGCAAAAGCATGACTTTTCTGTCTCCAAGGTCAGCACACTGCATAAGCAGCGCAGACACTTTAGTACAGTGGGTAGATGTAATTAATAATCCTGGCCAGCCAGCTCCACGGTCTCTATACCATAAACTCAGAGCAACAGAAATCTGCACCATGATGATGAAAGACAGCATCTCCCACTTTCACCCACAACAGTGTGGATGAAAGAACAGCAGTCAAGAGAGAACAAATGCTGCAAGTATATTTTCAGAAGCATTCACAATTCTGAAACAACTCATTTACCGAATTAACAACTCATGGAGATCACTCCACTGTCGTGTGTAAGCATCAGTCACCTTTATAGAAGTATGCCTCACTCTGAAATGCTACCGACAAATTACTCTGAGTTCACCTTTTTTTCCTTGATGCTCCTCTCTGGAGATCAAGGAGCACTCACCATAGCCCTACAGTGATCCTCAGTTAGGGCTGGAATAATTGTACCTGAAGAAGATGTCAGTCACGGGTGTTTCTCCTCCTCAGGAGACAGCAAATACCTTGTTCTGAACCCTCACTCATCATTTATTCCCACTAACAATGCTCCTGAGATGACTCAGGAGAGACTCAGTTAGATCTCAGTGATGGCACCAGATGCAATTTCTCATTGATGTGACACCACATACTTATCACTTGGCACATTTTGGCATATGTGGGATTTGGTTGTAGACAGGAGCAGGAGCTGTCCACGAACACAGAGATGATGGAGGCTTAAAGGAGCAGCAGCCCTGCCCACATCAATGAGAAGCTAGTAGTAACAAGAAGAGAAATTTAATTTCTTCATCTTCCTGTATTTTGACCACAAGTGCAGCATATGGGTATGTTCAAAGTGGAGATACTACTCAACAGAAGATTTTCAGAAGGCCCATTGAAGAGAAGAGGAAAAAAAAAAAATCTCTGCAATGATGCTGTCCTGGACTATGTTCTATCAACTATGAGTCCCTGCCAGAACAAATAAGAGACACCAGGCACAGGATGTTAGCTTTACTACCCTGTACCCTGTCCTGGAGCTGGTATTCGTACCAAAGAAACCAAACAGAAGAAGTCAGTTTGCTGACATAATAGTGTTTTGCCTTTCAGCAGCTCAGCTCATGAACACACTCATAAACAGCACTTGAGTCCTCAGTACAGGAAAGACACGGACCTGTTGAAGCGGGTCCAGAGGAGGGCCTCAAAAACAATCAGGGGGCTGAAGCACCTCCCCTATGAGGACAGGCTGAGAGAGCTGGGGTTGTTCAGCCTGGAGAAGAAAAAGCTCTGGGGAAACCTTATTGCAGCCTTTCAGTACTCAGGGAGCTTATAAGAAAGATGGGGACAGACTTTTTTGTAGGGTCTGTTGTGATAGGCCAAGGGGTAATGGTTTTAAACTAAAAGAGGGGAGATTTAGACTAGAGATAATGAAGAAATTTTTTACAATGAGGATGGTGAAACACCGGAACAGGTTGCCCAGAGAGGTG